TCTATCAACTTATTTAAAGATTTGTACAAAAAAAAAAATGTACGTTAGGTTGTAATCAACTTTCAAAAAAGCAGCCACCACCCTGGCTGTGACAACTGGCAGGAGAGCTGGTTTCTGCCCTGGGAAGAAACGTTGCCAGTTGGTGGCAGCATTCACAAGAGCAGGTCACATTTCCTCTGTTATCTTTGGGTTCTATTTCAAAACAACTCAAGAAAACAGACTCAGAGGCAAGCCTGGAAACAGCACGTGAACCGCAGAAAAGTGAAATATTTCTGATTAAAATTCGGTTCCACAAAACAGTAGAGCATCTGGCGGAAAAGGTAGCTCGTGTCCTATTTACCTCCTGAGCAGTTTTGGAAAAACAGGTGAAAGCTTGCTCCTAGAACAAACAGTGGGATCAATGACCAGGGGGCTGGTCTTTCCCCTTCCTAACATTTGCTCTTGGTTCAAGGACACGAGCAGCCATCCTCACTGCTCATCCCCCCTCCCTCTCCTAGAAAATAGCTGCGTCATTTTAGAGACTTTTTTTTAGAGTGATTAGGTTACAGGACCAACATTCCCAGGGAGAGGGATGTTCTAAGAAGAAACCTTTTGCTTTATTATTATTATTTTTTTATGATTCAGTAATGTTATACAGTCAATAATGCATTTTTTTTTCTTTAATCATGGGTAGTCTTTGAGAGATTTTTTTAAAATCTAGAAATATATTTTCAAAATTTAAACATAGCAAAATCCAGTGGTGAATTAATAAGAATTTTAAGTTGCTAACTGTAGTCACTTTGTAATTGGTTGTTTATATGTTTAAATTTCTTCAACTTAATTATATTTAAAACAAAAATGTTTTTAATATTCAGTTAGCTGTTCTTGTGCCTACTGGATGAGTATTCTTCAAAACAGTATTGTTATCGGTGAAAGTCAGTTATCTATAGCAGTTTGCTCTATTTATATGCACATGGAATATTCTTTTATTATGGAAAATTCTTCCTCTCTAACTGAATATTTAAGAAACAGAGCATTTGAAATATATCACTATTTCAAAAAAAATGTTTTTATTGATTTTTAGAGAGGAAGGAAGTGGAAGAGAGATAGAAACACCATCCATCCACTGCCTCCTGCACACCCCCTACTGGAGATTGTGCCTACAACCTAGACATGTGCCCTGACCAGGAATCAAATTATTGACTTCTTGATTCTTGAGTTGACCTTCAACCACTAAGCCATATCAGCTGGAGCATATCAGTATTTTTAATGATCAAAGTAAATACTGAAGTGGAAAGTCTTTACAATTCCCAAGGAAATGATGTGACCTATTAACAAATTATGATCCTTTAGAGTCTAAAGTTTAGACATTTGGAATGCCATACATCAGATAGCAAGTGATCTGAACAAAGTTACATATAAAACATTGCAGCTCAGAATTAGCATGTTACAAAACTTGTGAAATTTCAGTTGACACATATTAACAAATATATTTGTGAAGGAAGAAAAAAAAAAAACCTAGCCACTATAATGTAGGATGTTCCTTTAGAATTCTAGATGAGGAAAAGTCTGTCTTTGTATGGCTCATTCATCAGAGAAAGGGAAACTTACTAAATGAGCTACTAAAGTACTTTATTTATAAAGCAAAATGTGATGATATGTTGCCATTCATTTAAAAGACAAATATATCCTGTGACATAAACCTCTGAAGTTAAAATCTATGCTTCCTAAAGTACATTTTATCATAATTTAAAGCAATTTTAACGGGTCATCTAATATTCCACTTAACGATCTCCCTAATAAGGTTTCAGGTAGAGTTAATCTAGATAGAAAATACTGTCAAATAATTGCCGTGTTATGAAATAAAAAGAAAGAAAAAAAAAAAAACCTAAGCACTGAAATGTTATCTATTTTTCTCCTTCTAACATGCCCTTTCTATATGAAACAGAGAAAGTATAAATGATGCTTACTATTATAAGTAGTATGGATTTTTATACATTTTAACATCTATATTTTAATGAATGGACTATTTTCTTAAAGGCAATTAAATTATTCCAGAAAATACTTTAAAAAATATATAAGGGTCATTGTATTAAAATACAATTTTATGGAAAACACACACACACACAACACAAAACAAAAACACTCCTTGCTAAGAGATATGGCCATTTTGTTATCCATGAAGGGAACTATCTATCCAATGAAAGATCTTGGACCATGAGAAAAAAATGACATCCAGGCTGCTTGCTGGCAACAGGCCACACGAGCAGTACCCAGCCCTGCATGGAGAGCAGGTTGGCAGATGTTGTTAGCTGACTTTTGCTGAAAAAGTATGGGAGAACAGTTGGAAAATCACAAGGTGTCGAACAAGCTTTAAAGAAATAAATAGCTTATTTGGCAATAGAAAGGGAGAAAGACAACGAGTTCCTTCGTGGAGGAGGAAGACGGGGATACTTCCAATTACAGAGTTTCATGAACTGACTTAATAAGAATAGAATTTGTATTTAGATGTAGAGCCCCTGATACTTTAACCTGAACATTGGCATTTTACACTAGAATAGCCCTAAGGGAAAAAACACAAACCCAAGATGACACTGTGAACACCTGATGGCCATAGCAAGTAAATATTCAATAAATATGTGAAAATCTAATTTTGTATTAAAGTCTGAATCAAAAAAGAAAATATGAAACAATTGCAAAGGATACTTTCCAGAAGAAAGCATTATTACATGATGCTGAAAAGAGGTTGTCCCATGATCATTGTCTGCTAGTTAGCATGACTGAACATACAGGCAGGCCCATTAACATCCCTTATACAGTGGGATGTAAATCATCACAGAGCCAATAAAACTGAACCACATTTTCTTCAAGCTCTAAGATAAAAATCCTTTCATCTGAGTAGACATATTGCTAGGCAACATTTGTTAACATAAAAAGAGCAACAGGGTCTAAAAGAATAAAAAAAGCCAGAGTACAATGCTCATAAAGGTGGGTTCCCCCAGCATACACACAATTATACATGTATAGATATACATACCCATACATACACACATATAGATACATATATAAACATGAATGCACGCAGACACACATATACATACACACATGCCTACATGTACACCTATAAATACATATGTATACAAACACATACATACACACACACTTAAAAATGGCATTCCTAGCCGTATTTTTTAAAGCATGGTTTAAAATGGAGGTGCAACTTCAAATATAATTCTATTATATTTGCCTCACTGTTTATTCTTCCCAAATTTATGCTTTTCATAACTGTATGCATGCTACAAATGCTATGATCTTTGTGTAAGTAGGGTTCTCTTTACACAAATTAGCTAACAGAATCTTTGTCACATTCTTACACATATGTTATATCATAATATGCCACAATATAACACATTTTCAAAAATTACAATCCTTACTTTTATTTTCCTTAGATTTAAGGTTTCATTACATCTCTAAAAAAATAAAAGTCTTATATAGACTACAGAGGACATTCAAAGGCAGGGCTTAAAAAATACCCACATTATTGTTTCAGATTATTTCATGAAGACACATTTTTTTTAAGTGGACAGGGGTTTGTTTTGTTAGCGTTCTTAGTTTCTGCAACCCCCAGCCTGTTAGGACCTCAACCCAGACCTCCCATCCTCACCAGTAGCCCTCACTTCAGTCATTTTCGAGAAGCCATTGTATGGGTCCTTATTTGTAATCGACTTTGAAAGTCAAAAGCGGCGCAGATGAAAAACTAAGAGCACTTATTCAAGGGCATCCTCAATGCTGCAATTGCTGCCTGGTAAGGGCATACAGGTCTGGAGCCACCCATTTCCAGCGCCTCCTCGCAGGGAGTACAGGGTCCAAGGGGGGGGGGGGGTGCGGGGGAGGGGCGGGGTACTCCGCCACAGGCACCAGGATCCCCAAGCTGTTTTCTCGCTGGAGCCCACCCTCTTCCCGGCACTATGGAAACTGCTATTATTTTATTTATTTATTTATTTTTACGTTCTCCTCTTTCTATTACATCCCTAACAGAGAATTTCAACTTCTCAAGACAAGTGAATGGTGCTGGCGACGCCGGGGGGCGGAAAAGCCCGCGACCCGGGTGCGGGGGAAGGGCACCCCTGGAGGGTGGGGCCCGGGAGCCACCCGAGACCAGTGGGGCCGGGAGTTGGGGGGCGCCTCGGCCCCTCCCGCACCCCGGCTCTCCTTCCAGGAAGGCGCACGAAGCTGATATCGATCCGGAGCTCACCGGTGACTAATGTGATGAGCAGCGTAAACAAGCCGCCGCCGCCGGCGGGGCACCGAGGAACCACCCAGGCGCAAACCCGCTGCGGCGGGCGGGCGCGCGCCCACCCTGAGTCTGGGCGCAGGATCCGCGCGCCCAAGTGGGTGTTGGTGGGAGGAGATTACGAGAGGGCAGCTAAGTTCATTACCCTTTCTTGCCCGCCGCGAGCGTGGCGGTGGCGGGGTAATGCAGCAGGGCCACAGTGGGGTGTGATCCCATTCCCTGAGCCCAGATCCGAGGGCGGTATCGGGCCTGATCATCATCGGCCGCCCCCTGTCCCCTGTGCCCTGCAGCGTCCCCTCCTCCGATCCCCTCCCAGGCGGATGTTCCGAGCCTAATTAATTGAGTAAAAAGCGGGTGGGAGGGAAGGATCCTCTGCGCGGAGGAGGCTGGCCCCCACCACTTCTGCGCGCCCTTTTTCCCCCGCCCAGGGTGGCATCTCCTCCGCCAGCATCCCACAAGGAGCCTCTGATTAATGAGGTCTGGGCCGGCCCCCACACCCCGCCCCAGCCCCAGCCCCAACCTCCGCGGGAGAGGGCGGGGACGGCGGGAAACGCAGCCCGGGGAGAAAGGGGGGCGGGGCAGGGGCGCGCGGCCCGCCCACCCCCCGCGCCTCATGCCCATTGGCCGCGCGTGCCGTCCGTCGGGAGGCGCTGCGCCAATGGCGGCGGCGGGGCGGGGCGGCAGCGCGGTGTGTGCCTGCGTAACGGCGAGTCACATGTTGTTTTGCTCTTCTTAGTTCAGTCACTCGGTGCGCGATGTGTTACTCACAGTGCGGCGGGGACCGCGCAGAGCCCGGGTCGCCGTTGGCAGCAGGAGCAGCAGCAGCAGCAGCAGCAGCAGCAATAGTCCCGGCAGCAGCGCGGACCCCGAGTGCCCAGGCGCACCCCGGCACCCCGAGCGCGGTGCAACGGCGGGACTAGAGCCTTAGGCTCGGCCCCTCGACTAGGGGACCCCGACTCTCCTCTCTCCAGCCAGCGAGTCCCCAAGGCACCGCCCGAGACAGAGCCCGGGAGGCAGCAGCGGCCGCGGGCAGCCGGCGGCCAGGCGTTCGGCCACCGCCGGCGCTGGGCATCCTCTGGGCTCCGGATCGCGGAGGAGGGTGCTGCGCCACCGCCGCTCGGTGTCGGCTCCCCCCGCGGCGGGCCTCCCCGAACCTTCCCTACCTTCTGGGCCCAAGGGACGTGGGCTCGAGCGGGCAAGCAGGGGTGAGGGAGCAGCCCCCGCCTGCGCCCCCTCCGAGCCCCTTGACACTGGGCTGGGCATCGCGGCCTGAAGTGCCCGGGATGGCGAGCCCGCCGCCGCTGCATGGGGCCCCGGCGGCGCCGGCGTCCGCGGCGGGCGGCGATGGCCCCAACCTCAACAACAACAACAACAACAACAACCACAGCGTGCGCAAGTGCGGCTACCTGCGCAAGCAGAAGCACGGCCACAAGCGCTTCTTCGTGCTGCGCGGGCCCGGCGGCGGCGGCGCGAGCGGCAGCGGCGACGAGGCGGCGGCGAGCGCGGGCGGCGGGGGTCCGGCGCCGCCGCAGCCCCCGCGGCTCGAGTACTATGAGAGCGAGAAGAAGTGGCGGAGCAAGGCGGGCGCCCCGAAGCGGGTCATCTCCCTGGACTGCTGCCTGAACATCAACAAACGCGCCGACGCCAAGCACAAGTACCTGATCGCCCTTTACACCAAGGACGAGTACTTCGCCGTGGCCGCCGAGAACGAGCAGGAGCAGGAGGGCTGGTACCGCGCGCTCACCGACCTGGTCAGCGAGGGCCGCGCGGCGGGGGGTGCCGGCGGCAGCGGCGACTCGGCGATCCCCGCGGCCGGGGCGGCGGGGATCCACGCCGGCGGCGGCTCCTGCAGCGCCTCCTTGCCCGGCACCCTGGGCGGCTCAGGCGGCGGCTCGGATGACAGCAGCTACGGGCTGGCGGCGTCCTCCGCGGCCGCCTACCGCGAGGTGTGGCAGGTGAACCTGAAGCCCAAGGGCTTGGGCCAGAGCAAGAACCTGACGGGTGTGTACCGCCTGTGCCTGTCGGCGCGCACCATCGGCTTCGTGAAGCTCAACTGCGAGCAGCCGTCGGTGACGCTGCAGCTCATGAACATCCGCCGCTGCGGCCACTCGGACAGTTTCTTCTTCATCGAGGTGGGCCGCTCGGCCGTCACGGGCCCCGGCGAGCTGTGGATGCAGGCCGACGACTCGGTGGTGGCCCAGAACATCCACGAGACCATCCTGGAGGCCATGAAGGCGCTCAAGGAGCTCTTCGAGTTCCGGCCGCGCAGCAAGAGCCAGTCCTCGGGCTCCTCGGCCACGCACCCCATCAGCGTCCCCGGCGCGCGCCGCCACCACCACCTGGTGAACCTGCCCCCCAGCCAGACGGGCCTGGTGCGCCGCTCGCGCACCGACAGCCTGGCCGCCACCCCGCCGGCCGCCAAGTGCAATTCGTGCCGGGTGCGCACGGCCAGCGAGGGCGACGGCGGCGCGGCGGCGGCGGCGGCAGCGGCAGCGGCGGCGGCGGGAACCGGGGCGGCGGCGGGTAGCAGGCCGGTGTCCGTGGCCGGGAGCCCGATGAGCCCGGGGCCGGTGCGGACCCCTCTGAGCCGCTCCCACACCCTGAGCGCCGGCTGTGGCAACCGCGCGAGCAAGGTGCTGCTGGCGCCGGCAGGGGGCGCCCTGCAACACAGCCGCTCCATGTCTATGCCCGTGGCGCAGTCGCCCCCGGCGGCAGCCACCAGCCCGGGGAGCCTGTCGTCCAGCAGCGGGCATGGCTCGGGCTCCTACCCGCTGCCTCCTCCCCCGGGCCCGCACCCGCACCTGCCACATCCCCTGCACCACCACGCGGCGGGACAGCGACCCTCCAGCGGCAGCGCTTCCGCCTCTGGCTCCCCCAGCGACCCCGGCTTCATGTCCCTGGATGAGTATGGCTCCAGCCCTGGCGACGTGAGAGCCTTCTGCAGCCACCGGAGCAACACGCCTGAGTCCATCGCCGAGACGCCCCCTGCCAAGGATGGGAGTGGGAGCGGCGAGCTATACGGGTACATGACCATGGACAGGCCCCTGAGCCACTGTGGCCGCCCCTACCGTCGGGTATCGGGGGACGGAGCCGCCCAGGACTTGGACAGAGGGTTGAGGAAGAGGACTTACTCCCTCACCACGCCTGCCCGGCAGCGGGCGGTGCCCCAGCCCTCCTCCGCGTCCCTGGATGAGTACACCCTGATGCGGGCCACCTTCTCCGGCAGCTCCGGCCGCCTCTGTCCCACCTGCCCCACGTCTTCTCCCAGAGGGGCCTATAACCCTTATCCGGAGGACTACGGTGACATTGAGATCGGGTCCCAGAGGAGCTCCAGCAGCAACCTGGGCACGGATGATGGTTACATGCCCATGACCCCCGGAGCGGCCCTCCTGGGTGCTGCCGGCAGTGGCAGCGGCAGCTGCAAGAGTGACGACTACATGCCCATGAGCCCCACCAGCGTGTCCGCGCCGAAGCAGATCCTGCACCCACGGGTGGCTGCTGCAGCAGCTCTGCCCCCGACGGGCCCCGCAGCGCCGGCACCTACCAGCGTGGCGGGTAGGGCCTTCCCGGTGAACCGAGTTAGCTACAAGGCTAGCTCCCCGGCGGAAAGCTCTCCCGAGGACAGTGGCTACATGCGCATGTGGTGCGGCTCCAGGCTGCCTCCGGAGAACACCACGGACAGCAAGCTGCTTCCCAACGGGGACTACCTCAACATGTCCCCCAGCGATGCGGGCACCTCGGGGACCACCCCGCCGGACTTCTTCACCGCAGCCTTGCATGGCGCCAGCGGGGAGATGCTCAGGAGCATGCCCGGCTACTGCTACAGCTCCTTGCCCCGTTCCTACAAGGCTCCCTACACCTGCAACGGGGACAACGACCAGTATGTGCTCATGAGCTCCCCCGTCGGGCGCATTCTGGAAGAGGAGAGGCCAGAGCCTCAGGCCACCAGCGTGGGGACCACGCACCAGGCCAACAGGGTGGTGGCTGGGGTAGGTGGGGGCAGCCATGCCCAGCCTCCTCACTCCGCAGTGCCTTCTGCAGGGAGGCAGAGTGGCAGTGGCAGTGGCAGTGGCCGCCCGGAGGGCTTCCTGAGCCAGCGCTGCCGGGCGGTGAGGCCCACGCGCCTGTCCCTGGAGGGGCTTCAGACCCTACCTAGCATGCACGAGTGCCCTCTGCCGCCTGAGCCCAAGAGCCCGGGCGAGTACATCAACATTGACTTTGGCGAGGCCGGAGCGCGCCTGTCGCCCCCGGCCCCTCCGATGCTGCTGGCCTCGGCGGCCTCGTCGTCCTCGCTGCTGTCCGCCAGCAGCCCGGCCTCGTCCCTGGGCTCCGGCACCCCGGGCACGAGCAGCGACAGCCGGCAGCGCTCCCCGCTCTCGGACTACATGAACCTGGACTTCAGTTCCCCCAAGTCCCCCAAGGCGGATGATGAGACCCAGAGTGGGGACCCCGTGGGCTCCTTGGATGCCCTCTTGTCCCCCGAGGCCTCCGGGTACCCGCCGCTGCCCCCGCGCCCCGCCGCCCCCTCCTCCTCCAGTTCGCAGCTGCAGCCGCCTCCGCCGCCCCCTCCAGGGGAGCTGTACCGCCTGCCTCCTGCACCCGCATCCCAGGGCCCCAGCGCCGCCGCCTCTTCTTCGTCCTCCTCGGAGACAGGGGACCATGGTGACTACACCGAGATGGCCTTTGGCGTGGCTGCCACGCCGCCGCAGCCCATCGTGGCCCCCGCGAAGCCGGAAGGCGCCCGCGTGACCAGCCCCACGTCCGGCATGAAGAGGCTGAGCCTCATGGACCAGGTGTCCGGGGTGGAGGCCTTCCTGCAGGCCGGCCAGCCCCCGGACCCCCACCGCGGGGCCAAGGTCATCCGTGCAGACCCGCAGGGCGGCCGCCGCCGCCACAGCTCGGAGACCTTCTCCTCCACCACCACTGTGACGCCCGTGTCTCCGTCCTTCGCTCACAACCCCAAGCGCCACAACTCGGCCTCCGTGGAAAACGTGTCTCTCAGGAAAAACAGCGAAGGGAGCGGCAGCGGTGGCGTCCTTGGTGGGGGCGACGAGCCCCCCGCGTCCCCTCGCCAGGTGCAGCCGCCGCTCCCCCAGCAGGCGCGGCCGTGGACACCGAGCCAGCCTGGGGGCCTGGTGGGCTGCCCAGGGGGCAGTGGCTCTCCCATGCGCAGGGAGACCTCAGCTGGCTTCCAGAATGGCCTCAACTACATTGCCATCGACGTAAGGGATGAGCCGGGGCTGTTGCAGTCTGCACAGCAGCACCCGCACCTGCATCCGCATCCGCAGCCAGGTGACAAGAGCACCTGGGGCCGGACCCGGAGCCTCGGGGGCCTCATCAGCACTGTGGGGGCCAGCAGCACCGGTGGTGGGGTGTGTGGGGGGCCAGGCCCTGGAGCGCTGCCCTCCAACGCCTATGCCAGCATTGACTTCTTGTCCCATCACCTGAAGGAGGCCACCATTGTGAAAGGTGAGGCCCTTCACCTTGTGGCTGGAGGTGGGAGGAAGGGTGGGTGAGTGAGCGTTGGTGGGTTCACGTCTCTTCCCTTTTTTTTTTCGGTACCTGGACCTAAATGCCAAAATATTGGCCCTGGCTTCTTGTTTTGTTTTACTTTAGGCTCCTGGGTCCTCCTCTCTCCCCAAAGACCTTGCCAAGAACAGTCAAATCATCTTTGAGTTGAATGTAAAGCTTGCTATTCAGGAAACTACTATTTGTATTTGTGTGTTTTGTGTTTTTTGTTTTTTTTTTCCCCCAACATGTTTCTTCTTTCCCACAGTCCTCTTCCCACCTATTAACACTGGGCATGCTCTGCAGGTCCCCACCTCATCAAACCCATTTCTTGATCTGAGAGTGAGAAAGTTCTGCTGGGAAGGGCCCTGAAGTTCTGAGTTCTCCCAGGCTTGTACCTTTCATTTTCCTCTTTGTTTTCCTGGCGCAAGGTCCCAGCTGATTCTTGCCGAGCCTCAAAGTTTATAAAAACAGGCTCGAAAGCCACTTAGGAAATGAGCATCCATTTTTGTGGCCGCTAAAGAGAACAGTTAACCATTTACAGTTTACACATAAACTATAGGGGCCTTTCCATTAGAGACATTCCTTTTCTCCTGAGGGGCTGAAATAGTAATGCCGCTTTTAAACACAGCTTCAGAGCAGTGGTTCTCAACCCTGAGCATACCTGGGAGTCACCTGCAGAGTCTGCTGAAACCAGGAGGGCTGGGCATGTGGGAAGCCCCAGGGATTCTGAGGCAGTAGGTCTGGGGTGTGGCCCAGAATTTGCATTTCTAAGAAAGTCTCCAGGTTGTGCTGCTGCTGATTCTGGGACCATCCTTTTGAGAGCCCTGTCCCAGGTTAGACCCACCTGAGGAGGCTGGAGAAATTGGCCTATGGGGGCCTCACGCCAGACACTCAAGAAAAACATCCAGTGGGCAGAGTGGAGGCAGGAGCATTTTTCGGTTGCCCAGGTGATAATATGCAGCCAGGATTTAGAATCTGTGCTTTAGAGAAAAACAAGGGAAGACAACATCATGGGGCTTTTCGAGAACAATTGGATAGGATGGTAACCCCGTATTGTTCTTCACATTCTCATCAAATATCCATGAGGAGAGAGAGATGGCTTGCTTTGCAGTTGGCGGTGCATTCTGACTGTCTCAAACTTTGAATGGTGTTGTGGGGAGAGAGAAAGAAAGGGGTGAGGGATGTTCCAGGGTTTCTTCTTTAATTGTGTAGCTGATTCTCTGCAGGGTTGCTAGTAAGACAGAGGCACTGTGGGAACCACAGAACACATAGTAGTGGATGCTGTCCTAGATGCTGGCCTAAGGTCAGCAATCTGCAGGGTTTACAACAAGGTGATGATCAAGGTGCCTTGGACATCCACATGGCGTTTTTTTGTTGTTGTTTTTTGTTTTTTTTCTTAAAGTAAACAGTTCAGTTTAATGCTGTCTAAATGCAGCATGTGTTTGATAACATCCATGGGGTTTTAAATTACAGCTGTAGGGTAAATGCCCTGTAATTGTGCTATAACAGAGAAGAAGCTATTTACGTTTTTATTAAAACCATAGAATAAAAGGTGAAAAGGGTCACAGAATTATAAGGAATGTGGTGCTTCAGTATCTAATTAAATCAATTGAAAGTTGTCAGAATGTTTCCCTTAAATGGTGACTCGCAGCTGAAGGTCATTTTGCTTGGAGTTATATGATGGGCACTACAGGTATCTCTGAAAAATTGCTAGTGTGTCGTGAAGTTAAGGATTAGCTACCTTTCAAGACACAGACCATATAAACACACCGTCTAACTAGAATCAAGTGTTGGGGTTGGGGGAGGGGATGTACACCCACACACACACACAAATTTATTTGGTATGCCCAAATGGGTATATGCCACAGTGAACATGAAAGTACATTTTGCTGAAATCTGATTCTAATCAGAAAAACAGTCTGAGAACATAACACCTTTTACTGTTTCTGGTGGAGTAGGCGGTAAAAACCTGGACTGGATTCAGGAGGGCCCCAGGAGTGGGTTCTTGTAGTAACAGGAGGAGTGAGCCAGAGTGTGCCTGCGACCACAGGCCTAAAAGGAGTCGAAGGCCTTTTTGATAAAGTAGATACATTCAGAAACATGATTCATGTATGATATAATGCCCTTTTCAGTCTCAGGAAAATTTTAAACTGCAAGAGATAAGTTTAGTTAGAGACCCTATTTAGCTTGTTTTGTTTTAAGATTTCCCACCAGTATAAAATTCCTTTCAACCTATAGGATTCAGGATTCTGAAATCAAAACAGCAGTTTGTATGTTTCATGGTGGCTGAACAAAGATGAGAGATCGTTTTGGTGGCTGTTTTTCCAAAGTCTGTGTGGTAAACACGCTTTTGAGAAGGAAAAGGGTTCTTTTTAAACAAAATTGATCATTGCAATTAATCCATTGTGCCCCAACCACATTTTAGAAAAAAGGATCATGTGTTAAATGGGTTTCTAGTAAACACATTTGAACACAGAGAACAGTAGAATTGGAAAGAGGAGGGTGTCATCTTAATTAATGTGCAAGCTGTGGTCTGTGAAGCCAGGAGGACATTTAGAAACTCAGAATGAGCATCCACTTGTATTTAACTCGTGTATTCCCGTAGACATTTGTTTGGGGCGCTCATAAATAACAAGCTCATGGGAGATTAATAAGTTAATCCTTTGAGAGAATAATTTCTAGAAGGAAGACTTGCAAAGCATCTCTTTGAAGATGAAATAGAAAAAGAACATCCTGGGTCATGGCGTGCACTGGTCCGTCGCTCAGAAGTGGCATATGTTTGTTTCCACATCGAGCTTCTTGGGTTCTGCATGGAAAAACTGCATTGGTGATCCTGAAGCAGAATAATTTGGGGTCACTGGGTAGTGTTTGGTATTTGCGTAAGTGGTGACCAAGACTGAGATTCCAGCGATCTTTGATAGTTGTTTACAAAATAATTGGGAAAGGGGGTGAGGTTTAAATGCTCAAGCCAATTAAAAGTTAGTCCACTTGAGACCTATGTACATAATGTAGACATATTAGTCCAGCGAAAATAAAAATTGAACTAAAGTTTGCATCTCATTTGTAAGTAGAGGAGGTTAATAATCGTGTTATTTTTTACGTGTGCGTATGTAGAAAAATCCAACCAATCTGTTAGCCTGTTGTTGTTGGGGCAGTTGGAAGTATATTACTGAATTTGCTGTGCTTTAAAACTACTTTTAAAAATTAACTTTTATATATTTTTGGGTTGATTATAGATTGGTACATACCATAGAATATTTTAGTGTTCATTTTTAGTGGGATTTTTATTCTAAAATTGTTTTTTTCTTTGTGCACAAGGCACATTAGGTAAGAATTGCCACTGGAAGCATCTGTATTTAAATTTTGTTTTGAATAAAAGAGTCTTTATTCATAGCCTATGGTAAAAGAATCATGGCATAAGATAAATGTTTCCATAGGAACAATACAGTCATGGCATATGTTTAAAAGTATTGCCTGTTGAAGTCTTAAAGCAAAGAATTTGAACACTTTCAGAAGGCCAGTGAGATTGCTTGACAAACCATACCCCTTATTTTCTCTGTTGGGCATGTTTTTCTGCTTTCGCTGGATAGCTTTGTCATGGAGGATAATAATAATGTGCACTGCTCCTACCTCATTCTTAGTTGTCTAACTAAGATCCAATGAAAACACAGAGGCTTTGGTGAATGAAAGTCACATGACTCATTCTATTTCCTTTATTGAAAGAGAAACCTTTACAAAAATAGTACTTCGTAGAAGGAAGCATACATAGTTTGTGGAACACTAAGCCAGAAATCAGGAAACCAGGTTTCCAGTTGCTGATCTTAATGAGTCTTTGTGTGACCAGAGGGAAATCATTTAATCCCTCTTTCTCACTTTCTCAGTCTGTAAAATGGAGTAATTATAAGCCTCTCCCTTCGGTGTCACTGGGCCACTGGGAGGTCCAGGAGATAGTAAATAGTTAACAGTGGTTAAGTTCTTTTAAAGAAATGTGCTAACACATCTAATGACACTATTGATACTTGTTACCTTGAAACTGTGAGAATATACAGGAAAGATGCTTTTGTAAATGGGCGTTCTCTTAAAAAAAAAAAAAAAAAAGACAAAAACTCATAGTTGTCTGATAATGGAGCCAATCAATACCTGCTTGACATGTTTGCCTTTTCTCTTTGATTGCTAGTTCCACCTCAGTCTCCAGGAACCATTGTTTTTCTCCCTCCCCTCCCCCCATAGATAATTATAAATTGTAAGGAAAGAGTGTCTTAAATTACATGATAAAATAACTATTAAGGAAAATAGTGCCTGGATCCTGAAACTATGCTAAGACCATACTTTCGATTATCTTTTTTTATTTGTTTACATACTAAGAGATATTGTCAAATGGTGTCAAGATGAAAATGTATCATTAGAATATAGATTTATTTAAATGGACAGTTTTGGTTCATCATGCTGGCTGCAGTGAAAGGCAGACACAACTCTTAAACTTTCAGTAGTTGAACCATCCATTGTTTAAACCTGGATTTTCACTCTTTGGAGTTGATTTAATGAGAATGGTCACCCCTGCACTGTTTTGATTTGTTTGGTTGTCAAACATTAGGAAAAACTTGTGGTGTTTGGTTCTTCTGTAGTTCCACAGACCCAATCCCCCCGCAAAATGAATTTTATTAGATAGTTAATGTGTTAAAAGTATGTCCTTTAGAACTATTAGTATTTAAATGAAATGTCTTTCTGAAGAGGAGAACTTGCAGAAGTTTTAGTAACAGCTCAGATATAATGGGTTTTCTGTTAAAATTCCCACTAATGCATTTTCTGTAGACGCATAGTCACAAGAGCTAGTTAACTTTTGGTATCAGATTTGGCAAGTGGAGAGGTTTCTTTGTTGTGTTTTTTTTGGAGGGGGAGGTGGAGGGGGGTAGCACAGAATCAAGTGTTCCCATTTCACCTTAGAAACTTAAGGGAAA